AGGTAGTAATGTAGTTCAGTCGATTCTTCTTGCCCATATTGTTGAAATGAAATTTCTTATGGCTTAATTATTTATTCTCTGGTCTTGTAGCGGTTGCACATCAACCAAAGAAGTATGAGCAGAAGATGAAGACGATCCGTCAGATACACCGGGCGGGAGCAATATGGGCAGAAAGTCAAGATCTGCACATGTGGACATTTCATATGGACAACGGGGCTAGATTCGGCATTGCAACTACCAACCATGGCGAGAGCATAAATGGAGTCTACAAGGGCATTAGGGCAATGCCTGTATCTGTCCTAGTGGAGATGACATACTGGAAGGTAAACAAGTGGTTTGTGAAGAGACGGGAGCTCGCTATAGGGAGGGAGCGTGCTGGTCATTCAATAGCACATCATATATTTGATGGCATGCAGAAGATCGAGGAGAAATCAAGTAAGCACAGGGTTGTTCTGTTCAACCGCAATGAAGGTGTTTTTGCTGTGCAAACAGGTATATGGGGTGGAGGAAGACGTGGGCATAATCGTCAATCCGTTACTCTACACGTAGAAACTCGCACCGGAGAGTGTACATGCCAAAAGTATCAAAACAGAAGAGTACCTTGTTCACATGCAATGGCAGTAGCTAAGTCGATAACCCTCAGCGCTTACAGTTTGGTTAGTCCTTACTACACGGAACAGGCGATCAGGAACTCCTACTCGTCAAGTTTCAGCCCCCTGCCGGATGAAGCTTATTGGTCGGTAGACACTGGGAAGTTTATTATACCACCGTTGCACTTAAAGCGCACCAAAGGTCGTCCTAGGACCGAAAGGATTCACAATGAAATGGATCAATCACAACGTGCCCGACGAGGTCCAAAGCGTTGCTCAAAGTGCAGACAACCGGGTCATGACAAGAGGCGTTGTCCAGGTCCACCTCTAGAGCAAGATTCGGGGCCAAGTACAAACCAACCTTGAGTACTCTTTTGTTCACTTCCTTTTCATTTTCGTTATTGTGATGTTTAAGTTGGACTTCTTGTTTTAATCTTGTTGAGTGATTGTAATGAATGGTGTTTGTTGTTTACTTTGGTACAACATGGGGGAAAATCAACACAATCTCAAAATAAATTAAGACGAGATAGATAGTTCATGGAAAATCAACACAATCCCAAACCAAATTAAGACGACATAGATAGTTCATGGAAAAACAACACAAGACCAAACATAATTAAGACGACATAGATAGTTCACTGGTTCTCTTCATTTCCCTCTTTCTCCACTTCCCCTTCTCTTCCTCTTCCTCTTCCTCCACGACCTCCTCGACCCCTTCTTCCGCCTTCTCTACCTCCTCCTTCTTCACGAGCCCGCTGGAAAACTCCTCGCGGATTCCTCTTAACCCGACCACCCACCGGAGTGTAGACAGGTGGTGGGGGTTGAACATGCTGAGATGAACCAGAAGCGTGGTGGAAAGTCGATGATGTGTGTTGTTGAAGCGGGGTCTGATACTGAGCAGTTTGTTGCTGATGGTGGAAGTGAGGGGTGGCTTGGGCGGCGAACATGTCATGTTCCTGAGTGGCGACATAGCTTGACGACCCTCCGGTGCCCTCAGTACTAGTTGCCCACTCACAATGTGGCCATGGTTCAGGAAGTTGAGTTTGTTGAGACGGACGAAGCTCTTCAATGTTTTCTCTCACCCTTCTTCTGCTCCTCCGTGGGGGCTCTTGTGGGGGCACGATCCTCTCATCAGCACGGAATGACGGTCGGGGCGGTGCAGGCATTGGAGGGTATAATACGACATCCCTCCTTTGCTCTCGAGTACAACTGAGCAGGTTGTTGAAAAGCCTACGCAAAAAAGAGGTCTTACGCTCATCCATGGTGGGTGCACTCTTGACAGTGTGCTTGGCATGTTCCAAACCGTCAACCTAATAAATTGTTGTACAAAATTAACTAACATTAAGACAAAGAGGCATCCTTAAATCTAACAAAGGCATGTAATCATACTTCAAAAAATTTAGACATGTAATCATACTCCAAAAAATTTAGACATGTAATCATACAAAATTTAGACATTGTTGTACAAAATTAAATAATTACTTAACATTCTAGCTAATATAGGCATGTAATCATACTTCCAAAAATTAACTAATTAATTAACATTCTAGCTAATATAGGCATGTAATCATACTTCCAAAAATTTAGACAAAGAGGCCAAAATGGAATTCACTTACCACTGCGCCCCAAACAACACCTTGCTTTGACACCCATCTGAGCGTGAAATTTCGATACCACCGCATGTAGCCATCGTGGTACCCCATTGGCCTTGTCTCCGGCATCCCTTGGACCACCCACTGATTTCGATTCTCCCATATGTTGATGTAGAATTCATGCTTCTTTTGCCAATCCTTTTTGGTGTGGCGTAGGTCAATGGCGTGGAGCTCCCTGAACCCTTGAGGTGGGGATGCTGGAATTGGTTGCTCCAATCGATACTGCCTCAAAGATCAATCGGGCAGGTGCCATTCCACCATGTGGAAGCAGATTAAGGGCACCTTGCACAACCATGTCTCTTCATCCTCGGGATGTCTAAGACGATGCAACTCAACCACTTCATTTGGATATGGATCCCATACCGCCTACAATCATTATAGTTCATGGAATTAGTACAAATTATATCCACTCCACCTAAAAAATTGAAAATGATGAAATTTAAGTATTTTTACCTGGTTCCACCAAGGCTTATCGAATTCAGCACGATAAAACAGCAAAGAGTGTTCGAGCTGGTGGTCGTTTGTATTTGCTCCGATCCACCTAATTAAGCAAAAGTACGTATATAAGCAATTTTTATGGCATAGATGTTTACTTGTTAAGTATGATTGTATGGAATCATCTAAATTGAACTAAAATTCCTTACTTGGCAATAATCTAAATTAGCTAAATAGGATTTGGTTAGAAAAATTCAAAATTTGCTAACTTGGAAGATATCTAAATTCACTAAATACTATAATTGCAGACCTAAAATGTCACTTAATTTCCTTACTTGAAAGATATCTAAGTTCACTAAAATTCACTAAATTCGCTTACTTGGAATAGATCTAAATTCACTAAAATACTACCATTGCATATCTAAAATAAATTAAACTTAAATTAAACTTACTTGAAACCATATGGGGGATTTGCTACAAATCGTAGCTCATCGTCTGGCAACCAGAATTCCCGAGGGTATCGAGGTGCTAAAAACGGAAGATGCTCCCATGCCCAGAGTTGGAGTATGAACATCGCACCACCAGCTTGTTTCGCTCCCAACCTCGAGCAAGTACACAACTCTCAGTAGATCCCAGCCAAGACGGCCGACCCCCAACTTTTTCTCCCGATCTCGTCCCAGTCACCGAGGAGCATATTTAACCACATGCCTTGTATCCACCGGTTTGACTTGTCGGGGAACAGAAACCCACCAACCAAACCAATTAGGTAGACACGTGCATACCGCTCCACCTAATCTTCAGGAGTGTCGGGGCCTATGTTAACCTCCATTTGGATGTGGTCAACAAGCCACGGGACCGATACTTGCCCCGCATTCAGTGGTGGATGCCCATGCCCGTCGACGGGCGTGGTGGTCGGCATGTTGAACCCCAAACGCTCTAGAATCAACGGCCCCCAACCATCATCCGGTTTTTTCGAGCTGTCGATGATGGCATCTCCGGTGATCGGGAGCCCGGTGAGGATGGCAACATCTTTGAGGGTGATCGTCATTTCACCCTCGGGAAAGTGGAAGGTATGCAGCTCGGGGCGCCATCGCTCTGCCATTGCCGTCAGCAGATCGTTGTCAATATCAAGCCTCGTAAAGTGCCTCAACATGTGCAATCTCGTCCTCTCTATATAGGGCTGCAGTCGATCATGCCAACGGGGCAATCGACATGTCCCTCGATGAGCGATGGGAATAAGTGATTCCTACAAAACAAATAACACAATATTATCAGTCAATAGAAAGCAAAATAAAAACTTTAAAACTATTGAAATAAATTTAGTGTGGCTACCGGATTATTGTTCCAAATTGAACGGGAGCGATGTTGATCTTGCCCGGTTAAATACCTTCGATCCCTTGGGCCAGGATCGATATACAATCGAGGGTCGTATATCTCAGCACCCATCTATAAAAAAATATAAAATCAAATCAATTTAAATTTTAGCACCCATGTAAAAAAAATCACAAAAGAATATAATTAATTTACGTACTCTCAAAGCCTCTTCGTCCATTTTTTGCCGAAAAGCTAGCGAGAGTATCGACAAAACAAAAACTAACTCTAGTAATTCTTTCTGATGCGGAAGATCGGACTTAGCCGCAACCACAGAGCATACTTAGAACGAAACTAGAGGAAAGTAAAGGAGGGAGAAAGAAGTATAAGATTTTGGTGTGGTTTGGAATGAAGGGGGAGGGGGGGAGTGGTATTTATAGGGGAAAGGGGGAAAAGAGCCGCTGGAAAAAAGTATCAGGGACCAATCACCGCCTTTGATGAAGGCAGTGAAATCATTGCGTCCAACAAACGCGGTGATGGCCTGGATAGCTGACGTGGCGCGGCGTGAGGCGTCGGATCGTGGAGAAAAACCACAATCCGCGCCTCACTGCATCCAACGGCAGCGGTGAAGGCGCGGGTGGCGCGGATCGCTGACGTGGAAAGCGGGGCTATCACCGCTTTGGTCTTCTACGGTGAAGTCCCCGCGCGCGTCCACGTCAGCGATCCGCGCCACTTCACCGCTTTTGGATTCAACGGTGAAGATGTTCACCGCGTCGCATCTCAACGGTGAGTTAATCACCGTCATTAACAACAGCGATGATAGCATCACTGTTGTTGTCCAAAGCGATGATGCTAAAACGGTGATAGCATCATCGCTTTGGACCAAAACAATGATGCTATCACCGTTTTGGTAAAAAACGGTGATTTCCATCACTGTCTTGGTTTGCAGCGGTTATAACCAAACTGCTGTATTTTGGGAAATATTTTTATAAGTATTGTATTTTGGAAATTTTTTTTAATAATAAGTGTATTATGGGATTTTTTCCCCTCTATTCTCAACTTACAGTGATTTGATGTAACACCAGACTCTGCCTTACAAAGTATGGTGTTCCGCGCTATAATGGCGATTAAACACTCTTCCCTATCTTTCTTTCAGACATAAATAAACATTGTTACCCAAACAGGCAAACATCAAAACCAGATGACGGCCGAGAGTAAAAAGAAGGCCAACAGCATTTTACGTCCCTTTTTCTCAGGTATAATAAAGTCTCGGAGTTAAAGGAGGATAATCAGAAGTAATATAGAGACTAATAACAGCCGCCCTGGAAGGGCAGTAGATACCGTCAAAAATGGCTTATTTTTAACCTAAAATGGGAAAAGGCAAATACCCACCTGATGGTGGTATTCTCCAACGATTGCGTTTAACAGTTGACACATTCAACAGTAAACTAGTAAGTAAACCAGAAGTTCTGCAGATTGGTTCATATCTCAAAATCCTCTCTACTTAATCCACCACTTCAATGAGGGTCGTCTCGTAGTCGCTTGGTGCCTCAAATCCATGGAGATTGATCATAGTTGCGGCAACATTTGCAAGTCCACCGGTAGGAACATCACTGCGGAACCTCACTCCAGGTGCCAACCCTGGGCCGCCGATTGCAATTGGAACCTACACAAGGAAACAGAAGATTTCTGTCAGACTCAATAGTCTTTCAAGACATTCATTCATTCATTCATGACCTGAGACTTACAGGCTGGAGAGTGTGGGAGGTCAGGATTTGGACTTTGCCATTCTTGTCAAGCTGAGGCTTTCCAGATTTGTCCCTCTTAACCATGTCCTCAGCGTTTCCGTGATCTGCTGTGACTACGAAAATTCCACCAACTTGCTCGATTGCATCAATCATTATCTGCCACATGAAAAGTTACCCATGCGATGCAAGTAATCAGCCACCAGAACTATGATCCACGAAATAATCAGAGCACTAAAGCAAGTAGACAAACTAACTAGTAGGTAATTTGATCATGGTCATATGAGGTTACACAGCAAGACTTCTTACCTTGACGGCTTCATCAGCAGCCTTGCAACTAACAACTGTAGCTTCAACATCTCCAGTATGTCCCACCATGTCTCCATTTGGTATGTTAACACGAACCTAAATAGATTCAGGACAAGGATGATATACGTTGACGAGAAGTATAAATAAATACATTAATCAGAAAATAATGATTCAAGCACACCGAACTATTTTACCTGATGGAATTTCCCACTGAGGATAGCATCCCGAGCCTTCTCTGCAATCTCCAATGCTTTCATCTTCGGTTGTACGTTGAATGTGATCCCAACATCACTTGGAATCTCAACGTATTCTTCCATTTCTGGATTGAAACAACCTGAGCGGTTTCCATTCCAGAAGAAAGTAACATGACCAAACTTGACGGTCTCACTGTTTAGAAAATGTGTCCAAACCAAAAAGCCTTCAAATTAGTGAAAACATACTGAAATATCACTTAAACTACTGTAGATAGTTAATGCTTGCAAGGAAATCATTGTAGTAAATATTATGGAAATTAAACATGTCTTCCCAACCATCTCACCTGCAGGCAAATGTTTTAACACCATTGTGCACCAAATATTCACCAGAAGTCCTCTCTATCTCGGGAGGAGACACAAGGTAATGACTTGGAAGCATCAACTCGCCATCATACTGGAGCATACCAGCATAATTAATCTTAGGAACTCTCACACGATCAAATTTGTCAAAGTCCTTATACTCGAGTGCCTTTGCAAGCATAGTCATACGGTCGGCACGGAAATTGAATGTGACAACTGCATCACCATCAACAATTGGACCCACAGCCTTGCCACTGTCATCAACTATAACAAAAGGAGGCAAATACTGGTCATTGGCCTTGGGAGTTTCCCTCAGCTTCTTCACAGCTTCTATTGCACTCTTAAACTTGTGAGGTGCTTCACCAAGAACTTGGGCATCCCACCCTCGTTTCACAACACTCCAGTCATTCTGCAGCAAATTTCAAATAACTTTAAGACACAAATAAAAAAATTGTAATATCAAATCACCCAAGATAAGCTCTCACAACAACAAAGTCTCTAACCATCCACTAGGCATTTAACAGTCCCAGTATCAAGATGCTCCCAAGACAATTGTATTTATCGTTTTCGATGGAAGTGGTTGGTATTCTAATGCAGGTAAGAGTAAGACTATGCAAATCGGTGGATGAAACTGAAGCTCACTGTAACAGCGTACACCCAACAAGACAAGACTCACCTACCTTCTTTGGAACAACCCACCCCTAGGCCCTAACACATTTCAAAGTATACAGAACATAAAGCAGAACAGAACAGAAGCTTAACAAACTGAAGCAATCCCTAAAATAAGCTAAAGTAAAACACATAGGTCTACTTGATAGAAGGCAGTACCGAATAAAGATCAATAGTCACATTTGAAAACTATCACTAAACTAAACTAAAGGCATGCATATAGGTCTGAACTTGATAGAAAGCAATACCTCGTAACGATCCATTGTCACATACATGCGACCTCCACCAGATGCAATCAGTGCGTCAACACCATTCTCCCTTAGTTTGGCAAGATCATTCTCAAGGGTTTCTACAAAGCCAACACTTGTACCATCTATCACATCACGTCCATCAGTAAGAATGTGAAGGCGAATCCTTTTGGCACCACGCTCAGCGGCACCTTTAAGCAACAGCTGCACCACAAGCAAAGTAAAGGGAGAATAATGAGTAATCTCAACAGAAAAGAACAAACCAGTTACAAAAATTATGAAACAAGTCCTAGACAGCTAAAAACTCACCTGCACTTGATCAAGCCTGGAGTGAACTCCACCATCACTCAGTAACCCAATGAGGTGCAGTGTTCCCTTATCAAAGGATTGCTTGATATACTTGAAACCCTCCCCGTCATAAAGCTTTCCGGATTCCAAGGCAAAATCAACAAGCTTGGCACTGCAATCATTCAGCACAGCAGAAATAAATTCCCACTCAAGGCAGATCCCAACAAATTCCAAAACAATGGCAGCAACAACAACAAAACGTCGACAACATTGGGCTTTCACTGTTACTGCTTTCCACCAGTCAGCAGATAACATGAACATACAGCTAGCAGCAGCTCTGTGAAACAAATCAAACGAGCAAAAAGCCATTCATCCGACCCAATATGGAGAAAGGAGAGTTACCCTTGAGCATAGATGCGCCCAGCTCCAAGTGCATTGTGACCAACTTCACTGTTGCCCATGTCATCCTCGCTAGGTAGACCCACTGCAGTTCCATGGGCCTTAATCAATCTCCACTTCTCGGGAGCAGTCTGTAAAAGCAATAAACAAAGCTTCAGATGCGACTCGTGAACTAGATAGCACAACAGGGAAACAAAAAAAACGGAGAAGAAGATACAGTGAGTGAGAGAGGAAGACCTTCTTGAAGGAATCCATGGTAGGAGTCTCAGCAGTATGGATACAGTTGTAGGGATCGGGGCTAGCCTCACCCCATCCATCCAAAACAATCAGGGCTATCGTCTTCCCCTTCGGCAGCTTCGGATGATCCGCCAGCTTAAATGTGTTCGCGCCGGAGCTACCCATCTTCCTGCTCGATCGACGAACACACAAATCCGATCCAGTCAAAACCCCAAATAAACCAAATTGAAATCAGAAAAAAGCAGAACGCAAAGGCGCTTAGGCAATATATATAAAGAGAGAAACAATGGCGCGGCGGTAGGTCAAAGGAGGGCTTGCTGACCTGCGATTGACAAGTGATAGGAACTGAGAAAGAATCGGAGAAGATTGCAGAGACCAAAAAGAAACAGCCGTCGATTAGTTTGAGGAGGAAGGCCACTGGAGTAGCAGAGAAAAGGAACAGCGGGCCGTTTAAGTAGGCGATGCGTGGGGCGTGGGCAAAATAACAGATCTGGTTTCGTAAGAAAAAAATCTAAAGCGGTATTTCATCAATCCGTCACTCAATTTCGTTAGTATTACCAAATTGGTCCCTGAATTATAATCAAATAACCATTCGCTGTCTCCGTTTGCCCCTCTTCTTCTCAAACTATTTACCATTTTCAGCTGGTTTGGAACTTTGGAGTTTGGAGCTAGTTGTTGATTGTAGATTAGTCTCGTGATCAGAGAAAAACAGTGGGTGGCATGTCACATCCTCATCTAGCATTGTTAACTGTTCTAATCTGTTTGAATGGAATGAAAATTAAATGAAAAGTGAGGATCAAATTAACAAAAAGATACATATGATTCGATTTAAAATCAATTTGATTCGATAGCCATTTTTAAAGTTAGTTGACTGCGAGCAATATTTGCAGCTCTCTAGTCCCATATTCAATGGTAGGTGGAGAGAGAAACCAATATCAATTAGATATTTAGATTCATTTTCCAATTAAAAAATAAAAAATTGAATGAATTATATTTAATTCAATCGGTTCCAAATACTGTTTAGGTAAAAAATTACTCAATCTTGAGTCTAATCATTGTTCATCCAATCCCTACTCATAACCTTTGTAATGAAATGTGATTACCTAATCAATAGATCACATGGGTTACTGACATGTTTATCAGTTTTACTAATTTCTATATCGAACTCAATAAACACATTTATTTAGTTTCACAAAAATCAATCTTTCTTCTCAACTATAAAGTTATCATTTGTTCTGTACTTCAAAATACTTTTCATTGCAATTAAAATTTCATCTGGGTTTAGCTAGGCTAAATCTCAAAAGAAATATAACACATGTACAACAAGTCAACAACTCATGTCATGTGGGAATATTCTCATGTCAAGCATTGTTCCTTGCCTTAACGATAATTTTGAGGCAATTTAGTAGTGCTATTGGGGAAAGAGGGTGAATGAAAGAAATGGACAGAGGGAGAGTTTTGTAAGAAAACCCATCGGAGTTCTCAAGAGTAGCAAAATCAATCAGCAATTTTTAGATTCCATAGTAAGAAGAAAAAAGATCGAGGGGCAGGTGGAAATTATGCAGCCGGCCGCCGGTGTAAAATTCGTCGACGGCGGTGGGTTGTGGGCAGGTAAATGTCACGGGCCCATAGTTTCTGACGTGAGCGAGTTGGGTTGGGCCGGTTTGGCGTGGGGAAGGCATACCACCCCCCGCACACCAATGGAATTCCGGCGTGGGGAAGGGGTCACAAAAAGCGTAACCACCCACGCGCGTCGTTTCTAGAAATATTCTGTATTTTCTTTTATTATTTCCTTCGCATCGGCTGACGAATATTCCAATTTACCAAACGAATACTTTTTTCCCGGACTAGTTAGGTATTTGGGGTTTGGGCCCTCTATTACGCTCTTTTCTTTTGACAAACGACTCGATATCACTTATCACCAGAGAAGTAAGGAGAATGGGCTCGATGGTTTCATTATGCGCATGGCTGGCCCATGGAAAAGTACTAGACCTTCGATTGACCAACTGATATTTAGACTAAATCGAACCAAACCAATGGACCGAATTCAATGACGATTCAATCTTTGATTCTAAAATGTGTTTCACTTAATGCTGTCAGAACCGAACCGGAGCATGACCCGATAATGCGAACGGCTCGCACTTTAGTGGTCCAACCGGCAATAGACCGTTTAAAAATCGTTAGAGAACCGGTACTTAATAAACGTTATCAATATAAATAGTGGACATTTCTTAATCAGAACTCATCTCTTTCCTTCGAAATTGTTTTAATGGAAATAAGGATTCAGTTTAAGAGCCCGACGTTTTTTGTTTATTTCAATTTTCTGCAATTTTTTAATTAAATTTAACGGTTGAGTGGCAAAAACCGAACGAGTGGCTCGATCGGCTCGAGTGATTAACCGCCTTGGCCGCTCGCCAACCGCTACATAAAACCGGAGCGGCTTTTAGACTGTTCCGAACCGATTTTGTGACCGGGTGGCGATTCTACCGGTCAGGCCAAGCGGCTTGGTTCGGCTTTAATAACACTAACTTTCATTAATAGAATACGGTTCTCATTAGTTTGATCCGGTCCAAACCGTTGCACATCCGTGCTGGATTTTCACCCAACTCAACTCAGAAAATTATATAGAATTTAGAGATTTATGACTTGGTCTGTGTTTAACATTACTTCGGAGTCATACTACCTAAGTTGACCTTGTAGACAAACTTTTCGGACCTGACTCAGTGGGTATCCCGGCCAGGCTTACAGACCTATAAATTATAGTATACAACAGCAATATTACAAGGGAAAAGGACTGCAATTACAACATCTAATCTAGCCACTAGCCAGTGCTTCCTGAAAGATCCCCAGAAAGTGCACTCCCATAAGACGTTGAACCCGTCTGTGAAGCCCCTGTGCCTATTCTGGCTTTCCGAATCTGCCTTAACCGGAAAACATCTTTGGGCACCGGCTGGCTTTGGACCGTCGAGCTCTCCTCTTCCTCTTGCCCTGCCATTATCAGACATGAAGCTCATTCACTCTAAAAGAAGATCTAAAAGGCCAGCATAGCGCCTGCAGTTGTCAAACTTCCTACTAGGAAATCAAATATAAGCAGAGGATAGGAACTTACTGCCGAAATCCTTCCTCTTCCCAGACTGTCGTGGTCTGAACGATGAGCCGGTTGGAGCCTGGTGTGACCTGCTTGAACCAGAGAGGTCACTTGTGGCTGGCCCGGCCTGATGACTTCCTCCTCCCTTCCTACCTTTACCAGGACCTGCTGGAGCTGCTGATGGTGCCGCTGCTTCGGTTTGTAGACAGATGGAAAGTATGATGTCGACATTTGGTGTTGGACCTAAGCACAGTTTTCATCACCAAATTAGAAATCAAGCATGAATAAGAAACTGGAATCTGTACAAACTAATTTCATATCGATCGATCAAGCAATTCGTGCATCATATACATCTCCCGAACAAAATTTGAGGTCTCAGAATCACCTTCAACTATGGGTAAGTTTGCCAAAAACGATAACAGTGCAGGTGGAGTAGCTTTCAACACTTCATCGAATGGACCAGTTGCTCCAGAACTGGCTAACGGGCCAACAGAATTGGACAATGCATTGGGTACCCCATTGAATCCAGCAACTGTCGTGCTCGCAACAGTTGTGTTATCCACTGGCACATAAATTATGTCATCATTGACAGCCATAATACGAACTTGAATCCAATCTTATGCAGAAAATCCGCTAAGCTAGGAATTCCACTGCATCAGAATAGAACAGAAAAGGAAAAGCTGGAACCAGAGTTTAGAACGAGGATCATTTAAAAGTATTGCCAATGTATTTCTTCAGCAGTGTACTTTTCTTCCTACATGCAACTGGGAAAATAAATAGGATTTGCACGGAACGGGTTGATCATTCAGGAGGTCAAACTGCTTCAAGTTTGATTCCAATCGTTTGATCATGCTCCACAAATTTGAATTTCAAAGTTCTTTGCTAACTCTCTATGGACCACAATAGACCTGAAATGCATACCAGGTTTTTGTCTTGAAGCCATCGTACGAGACGTATCTGAATCAACAAATTTCGTAGGTAAATTTGAATAACTGGGGAAATTTGGAGGGCCTCTCTCTATATTCGGAAAATGCAAATAATTGGAGTTAGAATAAAAGGAAGCACAAGGGAATCCTAGGAGAACAGTTCAAAGAGGTGAAACTATACCTCCTCCCCTGCTAGGTCCATTGGACACACCAGACTTCTTACCCATATGCTTAACAAGCCACTAGCAAAAGAGGAAACAAATTAAAACACAATTATGAATAATTACAGCTAAGGAAATACAAAGATAAAGTGTTCTGAAAGGAACATTCCTTAGATAATAATTTTAAACATCTTTCTCTTCAAAAGGATACATTTGGGCCCCCTCATCCTACGCTGTCTAGAGGAGATTTTGGTCAAAATCCATCTGGTGAACACAATATCCTGATTTTGATGATGGAAAGCTACATGGGACTTGTTAGAATGACTAATTATCCAAAATTTATCACTTAATGGATTGTTGGTATCTCTTTCTAAGGGGAGAGGAGAGATTGTAAGTCCATCATGACCGTACACCATAATACTTATTTCAAAACTACAAGGGACCACTACTCAATTATTCACGCCATAGAATCACTCATCCAAACGAAAAATCTTCAGTCTCTACATCCTAAATTTTACAATTTTCAATTAATCCATTCTAGAGATCTATCACCCCAAGTGATCTCTTACAAGGATTTACTTCACCAACTCCCCCATCCCCCTCTCTTCCACCATACATCTTGGCTTATACTACTCTATATTATGCAAAGTCAACTTGCTTTTTAAATTCTCAACACAATTTCTTGCTGATATATAATCTCAAATTCTTAAACCTAGCACACAAATAAATAAAAAGAGTGAAGCGGAGCAGATATGTATGAGTATTCCCTTTTTGGCCTTTTATTTGATTACCAGCGTACTAAACATGATAGTGAAACACCACAATAAATGGGAAGGAATATTGCAGCTTCATCATGGTTTCCATATAGCACAAACAAGTAACCAAGAATGAACAGGCAGTAATGGACTATGAAAGGGCAGAGCCTATTTATTTCTCTTCTGTCTCGAGCTTATGGGCTAAGGGGACTAATTCAAGTCCTTAACATATACACGGTATAGTGGCAAGTGTAATAGCTTCACAAACCATGCATTTCCAGCCCTAGAAAATGTCTATATTCGCCTAAGTACAAAGAAAGGATAGAGCATCTACCGCCAACTAAAGATACACAATACATAATTTTTCATCATAGAAAGTTGGATAATGGACTACAATTTAGTCTCACATGCAGAACATTCAAGGGAGAATGAAGCTTATTGAATGTACCTCTTGTCGGGCTAGCTGATCCAAATCCTTTGTGGAGCATGGATAAAGATCCATAAAACTATAACGTGACACAACTTCTTCTAATGAATCCTCTAAAACTGATCCTGGATCCTCATCTATACTTGAAAAGGCTTCTTTTCGTCTTTGCTCAACCTATAATAAAAGCAAACAAACAGTGGTCACGGATAAAAGAAATAGCATGAAAGCTAGTGCACCATCACTAGTAAACAACGCAATTCCCATAGTACTTGCTACATGTGATAGAGAAGGTTAATTAAAAAACCCTCTTGGACTTGAATATTAGCTCTGTTCGTGTCTGTCCATTAGTTTCCCAATATTACAAGAGTCACCAAAGGACAGCTTGGCATATTGGTTCGCAGAGAGCAGAAAAGTGAAATAAGAAGCAACTCACAATAAAACCAAACAGATATACATCACTTTCAGTTATAGACGTTGATCATCATAAGAATGAATAGATAGCTAACCTTCTCCAAGAGTAGATACATAGCCTATACCAAAGTTCCACAGAAGCTTTGATTATTCCATTTGTACGACAAAATTGCTAGTATTTGCTCTTATCATAATGGCGAGTGGATTTACTAAAATGGCTGCCGCTGATAATACTCTTATACAGATTGGAATTTCCACGAATCCAGTGACGTAAGAGTTTACAGTACAGGAAGAGATTTTGGTTGAAAACAATAAGAACCAGTGCAGTGATATTTAGTTGGTCCGGATTATGCCAAATAATAAAAATTGTAAGAAACTGCAAAATAGGTCGTAGTCTATAAAGCCAGGGCAGTAGAGAAGAGGCATTTTCCTAATAGTGCCAATAGATTCTGGAAAGCAATTTTGAAATGGTGAAAGAAGCCTAATTGTTGCCTGGTTCCTTTAATATAAACTATATACAGATATATAAGAAGCAAATGACGGAGATCTCATGAAGCTCAAAATCAAACCCAGATTACTACCTTCAACATGCTAGCTAGATCTCCATATGTCTGCTCAAATTGGACAAAACGTTTCCACACCTACAAAAACATTTGAAGAATGTCAACATCCCAAAAAGAGTGCTCATGAGAAGAGGCAGCACACAAGCAAAGAGTTCATCAAAAGCAATAATGTAACCAATTTACAGTTCTTTGCTACAAAAGGGGTAACATAATCACAGCGGTTAGTCAGCTTCTTCTAATTAGTTTTGAAAAGGGGTAACATTTCCCTCGGCTACTTCCCCTTTTCAAATTCTTTGATTTTCTGATTTTTCTTCATTGTCCCCATTTGCATAATATTCCGGTAAATATATGAGAAGAGACTTTGAACAGGAGTTTTCTTGCTCTGAAGATTGGTGTAATTAAGCAACTGACAGCGCCACCAAAGTAAAAAATTAAATTTGTTAACTTCTGTTGCTCAGTTGCTGATTGAATGCTACTTCTGGAAGTAGCACTTCGGGAGTTAGATAGTGTGTTCCCTGAGACATGCCTAATAGGTTTATTTTACTCTTCCATTATTCAAGCAAGGGAACTCAGGCATGACATGTTATAGCCGACTTAAGGAAAGATTTGCTTTCAATGACATGGGTAGCTTTTTAAATTATTGCAGCCATGTTTCAGCAACCAGAAAACCAGATCTCCTACATCTTTAAAGGAAACACCTAACAATAGGTGTATCTACTTCTTTGTCTATGACCGTTCTGTCATTGTAGTTTTTGTTTTTCTTTTCTTGTTGATGGGATCATGACCATTCCGGTGTTATGCTCATTTAATTCAGACAATCGAATACAAGACAGCAGACCTCAACAGATTTCTCCGGTGGCAGTGAGCTTAGTGCCCGCTCAAATAATGCCCGAATGTTTCTGTCATCATTTAGACGATACAAGAAATCCACATATCTGTCACAAAAAGAGAATTTCTGATGTCAGGTCGCCAACCAATACTACGCATGAAAATTTCAGGAAATCAAAATGATCCCCTGCTTTAGGAGCATCTTGTATTAATCTTCGGATTCTAGCAACATGCCATGCAGCTAAATAGTACCCTTCTAGCTCTAGATGACTCACTACCAAAGTATATGCTGCATAGCCATTTAACTTTAAAATGTGACATATTACAATGAAGTAGTATTATCCAATGTAGTTTTCTATGACCCATAACACTGGTCCCACTAACGACACATAGGTAAGCGACATCCACCTGATTGAAAGATCTGATTCCAGAAAAGAACTGCAGATGACAAATCAAGACCATCTAATTCTTGAATGGCTAAGAATGATGCCATGAGCCCCTAATCTAATTCAGCAAGCTTTATTTGCCAAATTCAAGTGCGGTAGCTATATGGTAAGAAGAAGCGAACTTACTCAAGAATGTATGCAGGCTCCTGCATAAAACGCTTTAGTCCTGCTTCAAAAACATTATGTGCTATCTGCATAGTTTACAGAACACATATAATGTCAACAAGCTTACTATTTGCAGTAAATGATTCTTCAAAAAGCTTGAAACTTGGATCTAAAGTTTTCAGTTTTCTAGTCCTTTGGATGAAAATGAATACCTTTGGATCCTTGTCCAGGCAAAACGCCATCAATGCATAAGCAACATACACCTGGTATGTGCAGTTGGGGGATTTCCTGGCATCTAGGAAGTACTTCCGAGCTGCTTCTACTCCTTGATTCCTTCTTAGAAAGCGAATAAACTACAGAAATAAATAGTTCATTAAGCCAACTGTCAACCTTTTTTATCTGATTTTTCTCTTTACCAATTATTTCCTTTCTTTTCCACTTTTGATGACCAAGTTTGCATTTGATGATACATGATACAACATTTTAAACTCCCAGTTTCTATAAATGATTATGTCACATGAGTATATGCTCTGTATTACCTGAATGTATGCAAGTGCATTTGTATTAGCACCATCACCCAAAAGACTTTCGTATATTTTCTTTGCAGGCTGCATGAAGGAAAGAGTTACTGCATAAAAAACATTAAATGGGACAGTGATGTAAGCACAACTAGAATGAGAATTTTCAAACCTGGATTGCTCCACGAGACTCCTCCAATTCTGCATAAGCGTATTTCAGCATCTCTGAATCTGGTCATGAGAATCAAGGGAAATAATATTCAAGACGACAGAAGAACAGGAGTGGAGCATAAGTGAAGACATTATCCAAATATAGAGCAAATATATCACAAGATATCAGTACAGTAATATTTCGGAGATAGGTTTTGTCGTTTCAACTAGAACAATAGCAACTGTCTCATCTTACATACATATAACAGAATAATAATTACCTGGTAGAGCCTTCAGAGCCCGCTGATATACTCTAATAGCAGCATCTACAGAACCACTTTTAGCATTCCAAGTAGCATAATCATACCATATATCAGGATAATGGTATAAATACATCAGGCACTGGATACAATTCAATTCAATGAATAGTTTATAGCCAACAAAAGTCATATTAATAAGAAAGAATTTCTGTCATAAAAAAGGGCATAAGTAAAGGAAAATTGGAGAGGGACTTGATATAACTCGTTTGAATATAGTGAATTAAGTTTGATTGTTAAGCTAGACAATCAAAATAATTGCTGCATTTCTGGAAGTCGAAACTAGTTCCTGATAGCAAGTAAACCACACAAAATTAATCTATTTTTATATGCCTTCAACACTAGGTAGAGCAACCAGTCATGCGATACAAAATGGTTTGCATATGCGTTTTGTTTAATATAACAAAAGTTAGTTACTATGGTGACTCGTAGCTCTTCACTGAATAGGTCGAATTTCCAATTTTATACATGCCCCATTAAAAAGAATGAAGGCAAAACCAGTTCAGGGAAGCAGAGGAACTATCTTACTTCCTGCAAGTCATCTGATACTTCTACGAAATAATATATACCATCAAGGGAATGCATAACAGTTTACGTGAACAGCAGTCATAGGGAAAAAATTGCCAAATGATACACAACTTATAACACCGTGAACTATATTGGAGAAGATAAATGACATTTCTAGTATTGCCAGCCATAAAAAGAACATTCTGAGGTTGGAAAATATACTAAGCCTATAATAAGGGACAACCAGAGACAAAAGGTGAAGGCAACTGTTTTGAGAAACAGCCAACTGTAATATATTGCAAACGGTGAACAAAGGAAACACAATCTGATTCTATTACCTGCTCATAGGTGAATATAATACGCTTATTAGAGGAATCACTATCAATCCTTTGAGGGTTTGTCCTGAAATTAGAGATGAAACATAAAAAACTGAACACGAGCAGGACTTAAATAGACCAAGAGAAAGCAATTAACAGCTAGAAGCAATCTCTAGTGTGTTTCAAATTAGAAAAAAAAGTTCACCTAAACAAAGGCATATAATTGAACTATTAATACTTATGAATGGTTGGGTTTTAGACACAAAAAAAAAAAAAAAAAAAAAAAAAAAAAAAACATGAAAACATCAAAGCATCAACATTATTATTTTAAACAAAGCAATATTATTTTCATTTAACTACACTAAATTGGAAAAATCATAATGGTCTTTGTCATCTACCTTCGGAGTTTCGGTAAAGCTATGTTTTTCAGTAATAGCACTATTGAATGATAGATTCATACACATGGGTATTATGTAGAATAATGTTAAAGCAAATGTTCATTGTTTAGTTGATAAACCACCAAGCTTCTATTTGGTACTCTTAAAACAAACTCAATGGCAGTTTCAATGAACAGTTTGACATCATCTTTCTAGGGATGGCTTTGAATGATTTGCTTGTGGAAGGTACTAGCAATTTTATCTCAATTAGGTACTCTTCTACAAAAGCAGCATGTAAAAAACTGTTCATACACACCAATATCAAATAAAACCACGAATGAGATGGTTTTCTTTCTTACTTTTCAAAAGCCAGTAGTCTTCGCCATGCGGTCCATTGTTGCTCTTCCTGCCAAATTATAATAGGTATCAGAAAATGAGAAAAGTGCATACAAGAATAAACCCTGGATAGATGATAACACTTTCATATGTCTCCACCACAGTAGGGAAATATGATACAACAGGAACTCAAACAATCTTGCCTTCTGAACTCATTGTTCTGATATGCCAATCTTATATTGGCTTAAAACTAATATCACATGCTAGTAAAAACCATTGACCGACTCTATAATACTTTGATTTCTTGATAGTCAACCTGAAGTTCCAGATCTCAAGGAGCAAGAGCCACAAAACACAGAAAAAGGAAAAGTCTGAAATTTTAAGCAACACACCAAGGTTCCTAGGATAGACTCTGATTTAACATACACTAACATTCATATCACGCATAGTTCACGGCTTTCAGAAGATATTTGTGATAGGAGAAATCAATAATTTAATACAACAAGTCTAGATCAAACGAAGACAAAGGTAAGGTTTGGAGAGGCCTACAAAATTTCCCAGAGAAGATAACCAAATTAATACTGAAACATTAGTATAATATAGCAAGCTCTCCTGCATATTATGTGCCGATATTTATTAACATATTCATTCAAGTGTCAATTTTCAAGACTGAAGTCAAATGACTTTTTGGAACTCTAAGAACATAAGAGCAAGGAAGTTACCTTGCTAGAGCCGGTTGGCGGTACAGCCAGCATATTCCAATCAATCTCTTCAAAATATTTCTTTCGCTCTCTATATACAGCCCTGGCACTGTTATACTTCTGCTGGAACTCAGATATCAACCCTTTGGCCTGGTTAATTAAAGACTTCCTTATTAGAAAGAACCAGGACTCTATGAAACAAATAATATTTCCGAACACTTTATATACATCCTTTTCAAATAATAAAATGCATCAAACACATTTCTATGAAGGAAATAAAGAAATACCAATTGCCGATTGACAGAATTTTCGAAAATTTCATATTCCCTCCAGAGCTGCTCAACATGATGGGTAGGAGTAATAATTGCCCTTTGGTATACTTTACGCAAAGCAATCATTCGTTGTGACTCTTCCTGCCCATGCTGCGCCTGCCATGTTACCTCAAATAAGAACAAGTAATAATGATAAAACATAAAACAATAATGGGAGAAGTATTCCCGGGTTTGCCTGGTTGAACAAGAAGAGATATGATAAACCAGGATTTAAAGTTCAACATACCGGAAGTGACTTCAGAAATGTTATATACTCCATCCATATAGGCCCAGAGGCAATGTCCGTACCTGAAAATCACAAAAGGCACGTCAACTCCCAATATCACCCCAAAGCAACACTTTTCAGCTAAAGCCAAACATTTACTATTAGCTTTTCCTATTCCATTAGTTGGTCGCAACAATGACATGTAGCCATAGTTTCTAATTACTAGAGTGTGGAAGAAAAAACAAATCATCAAACTTTCATAATGTGTGAACCTCCATACAGGATCACAACCTGCTTCACAGAAAATGGCTCCCAATGTGCAATAAGATCAGAGACATAAGTTACAAGACATGAAAACCAAACTTCTCAATGAAGACATGGACTGATAGAACCAAACGAAACATTGTGGAAATAAGATATTTGAGGATTCTCTGGAAAAAAAGACATACCAACATGACTGAGCATAAAATCAAAAGCTTTTCTAGTTTCTTCTTGACCTTCAGCGCCTTTCTTCTCATTGACTTTTCTGATGAATCGGATGTAGCATCTCCTACGAAATCCAGAATTCTCAAGTTCTTATCATTAAGTCAGAAGTATGCTTAGCAAACAAAATTGGAGATTGTAGAATAAAACTGTAAGAAGAGCTGGCGAGCCCTATAGCGGAATTATTTCCTTTAAGCTAAGGCAACCAGAGGAATATATGAATTTCGCTCACTGCATAGATTAATCCAGAGAAACATAAACACTATTAAATCTTATTGTTTCGGGACCAAGAACACCTATTGTAGATCACCATACCATCAAAAAGCGTATCTCAGTTAACCAAATACAAGCTTTATTCATGCCACACTACCGATAAATATCGAACTGAAGTGGAGCAGTGCAACAAGTATTGGATATATATAATACTGGTTGGGGGCACCTACCATAAAGGAACTTGAAGACAATTCAGCAAACACCGGCTGAATATCTGTTTCGTAGCATCATCATTATTTGCAGCCATATTTGCTTCCACGTATTGCTTCCAAAATTTAGCCTGTACGGTAGAGAATTAGCTTCAACAAAATGCATCACACGACAACTTACAGATGCATATCAAGTGCCCAACTAATTCAACTATGGAAAAAACAATAAGGCAAGCATAAACTGCTACTTCAATTTGCTGACATTGACAAGAGCAAGTCCACACAAATATCCCAAATCTATCGAAATAGGTAAGTAAAATCGTAAAATCGTAGGATTTTAGGATTTAAATCGGGATTTTGACTACTCTGATTACCAGCATTAACCAAATTCTTTCACATTAGTTCAGTGCAATGAGTAAGACCCAAGGCGCCGTAATCATAACAGAAAGAAACTTCGTCAGCACAATGCATATACAGCTAGCGAGATGCCAGTCTCTAGAGGCGAAGTATAGAAGCCAGCAACATGTTGGATAAGCTAAAACAATAAACAGCAAGCAAACATATACGGGCAATTGCAGTCAAAAGAACTCACAGCTGTGGGGTATAACTGCAGAAGCTGTTCGTATATCGGAGCAGCCTGAGCGAGCGGCAAACGCTACAACAAACCATCCAGCCACCAAACAGAGGATAAATTAGCAAAAATATGGATCACAAAGAGTAACTGAATAAAATACAATTGTTTCCGATTCCACACCTGAGCGCTAGTGGCTAAGACTTCCGCGGCCTCGACATTGAACTTTTCAGCGGCTGTCTCGTTTTCCTGATCCTGAATCTCAATTACATCAGCACGGTAATGCAAACACTATAATCACTCACAAAACGAATCAATGTCAAACTTACTTTAGTTTCAGGTGCATCCTTCTGCTCGACTGACGACGCCATTGAAGTTCCGCTGCAACCAAACAACGAATTCGTCCGCAGAAGGGCTAAATTGGGATGGACTGAGAGTAAGTCCGCCTTTTCTATCCTGTCTATCGTCTATAAACTCTCCTTCACTGCCAGCTGTAGTCTTCTCGGAGGGAAAGAAACAGCAGCAGCGCGCTTTCGGACTACCGGGGTCAGCACGGAAGCAGGCAGCTAACTTCCGCAGTCGACGGATTCTGGCCGTCGGAGCACCAAAAATAAGCGGCCGAGGGTGAAGAAGGAACGGTGCGGTAGAAAACCACCCAAATTTTGCACGAATTGTCCGCGAAAAAGAAAAATTGGGAAGCGCACGGCCACATTGATTGATTAAATTCAGGGACTAAAATAGCTATTTGGTAATATAACTTGCTATTATCGAAGTAACTGGCTATTATCCATTTATTTTATTGGGTTAATATATTTGTATAATCCGAACTTTTCAAATATTAAACATCCTAGTCAATTTTTTTTATCTATAATATTGTGGCATCAACTATGCATCAAAGTTAGATTTGACCATTATCTTGGACAGCCAAACGCGTTAACTAACGGTCAACGCACCACGTCACCGTCCAATCAGCACAATAAATGTTAAGAAATTCAAAAACTCCACATAATCTCCAAATGTGAATTATATCAATTAAGTTAAAAATAAATATAATGATTTTCAAGGAATAACTTCCAATACGTATCTATCTCTCTCTGTTTCCTTCTTAAATCAAGAGAGATCTGATTTCCATCTCTTAACTCTCCACTCTCTGTTTTTGTTTTGTTGTTGCAAAATTTGCAGGCTTCCAATCATACATCGGAGTCAACTACGTCCAATTCGCCGATAACCTCCCGTCATCGGCCGCCACCGCCAAGCTCTCCTGCAATCCACATCTGTCCAGAAAGTCCGAGCTCCTCTCGATGATGCTGAATGTGCTCAACTCGGCCTCTCAGCGGGAAGGTGACCGTCTCCATAGTCCACTCCATGTCCATACTGGATTAGTCTGACCTGCCTTCCTCCGGTTTGTTAAGCTCGTTGTATCAAGACGCGATGAAGGCGCTGCTGCAATTCTAGAGAGGGATCAGGTCGCCAATATTCCTGGAACCCGTACCTGTTCTTTGCTTACCAGTGTGAATCAAAGCATGTGACTTTCACGTGGTGACCTTTTCGCTAGCGTCGTGAGCGGCGGAGGACGAGGTCAAGTTGCTGGTGTTGCAGCGTGACTTGGGAGTGGGACGGGAGGAGCTATCTGGGTCTGAGGAGCATGAGATCGAAGGACATGGGCTCGATTTTGCCCATATCTAAAAATCGCAATCGAAGATCGATTTTGGCGGTGGTGGAGTCTGGGTTTGCGATTTGCGGCAAGTTCGATTTGACTGTTTCTGTGTTGTTGTTGTTGACTTGTTGACGTTGGAGCGAATTGCATAAGTGAAGGAGCAAACACTGATCTGGGTTCAAAATAAGCAAACGACGGCGACAGCTTCAACAACGGGATGGGATGTCTTTTTTATTGTGTTCATTACCTTTGGAGTTTATGATTTTGTTGGGGTTTTGGGATTTAGGATGGGTTCTGGATATGAAATTTTGGGATGTATTCTGGGTTTGGGATGGTATAATGGGTTCAGTTGGGTTTTGGGGGCAGGGTTGTGAGGAAGAAGAGATGCATTTGATCTTTTGTTGTTTTTTCATTTTTTATATTTTTTTAACTTAATTGAAATAATTCACAATTGGAGATTATGTGGCTTTTTTGAATTTCTTAACATTTATTGCGTTGATTGGACGGTGACGTGGCTTGTTGACCGTTAGTCAACGCGTTTGACCGCCCAAGATAACGGTGAAATCTCGGGTTTGGCCAATTTCGTAACTTTGATGCATAGTTAAAGCCACGATGTTATAAATCGAAAAGATTAACCAGGATGTTTAATATGTGAAAAGTTCGGGTCATACAAATATATTACCCTATTCTATTAAGTGGATTCCAGATAGAGTAGTGGAAACTAGAGTCAGAGTAGGAAATAAACAGAAGTTCACTTCTCTCTTCGTTATTTTGTGGGTTAATTACGGTCAAAGTAGTCAAAATCGAGATTTAAATCCTAAAATCTTACGATATTACAGTTATACTTATCTGTTCCGATCCTGATTTCACTAGAAAATCTATGGACCTTAAAATCATACACTTTTGACGATTTAAATCTTTAAAATTTTACGACTTATGATTCAAATCTTTGGGTCAATTTTAGTTATTTTTTCTAGAATTTCCAAAATTACGCTTCTTTTCCTTCTCCTCCACTAACATCATATACTTCTCTCACACTAATCACCATTGACCATCATCAGTTTACATCAACGTATTAATCATCATCGATTCACCACTTCACAACATTAACCTTGACAGATTGGAACATTAACCTTGTGAAATTATTTTTGTAAAGTGTGATGTGTTTTTGTGTCATTCATGATTTTTCTTATTAATGACTTTTTAGCATTTCACCCAAACGTGGAAAGTAAATCATAAGTGGCAGCCTAGCTGAGAAATTCTCTAATGATGACAGTAGTAGTGAGTACAGTAGTGAGCAGTGATTGGTGGTAATGTGAGACGACCCATGTTAGAGTGCATAACTATACCGTTACTTATGTTTCTTTGGTTAGCAGCAAGCCAAGTAGAATTGTCTGTACTACCCAAACAGATTCCACCTTCTATGTTCGCTCTTTTTACAGGACCCTTGTCAAAGATTGCTTCCTGGGGCTGCTTCTGTTCTCGGCCGACTTTGTTTGGAGGCATATCATCCCAAGTAAAATTGTGTGCTTTCATATGGCTTGTGTCGCACAAGAAAGTCATAACACTTGACACCTTGAAGAAACGGGGATGGTCTCTCGCCAATATGCATGAGATATGTTGTAAGATGGAAGAAACAATGATCATCTCTTAGTCGACTACGACTTCAGCAATGAGATTTTGAACCAATTTCTACAAGTTTGTGACATTGTTGACCAGCCAAGAGATGATGTTGTTTCCACCATCAGTAGGTGGAATGTCGATGCCAATGACGACATCAACGGGTGGATCATCTACTGTTCTCTACACTCCATATGGTGGCACTTATAGACAAAATAAACCTAACACAATCCTAATTGAACAATGGAACGAATTGAAACTAAACAAGGTAAGGAATACATGTAAAACAAGGAAACTTGCAAACCAAGCAACAATCTTCTCTTCCAAGTGAATTGCCCAGGAAACAGTTCATCGGGCCAACTTCAAGATCCTGGAAAATGGGCTTCTAGGTCGATTCGATCTCAGCCAATGCCTTCACGAGATCTAGGAAGTTGCACACAAACATCTCCAACTCGCATCTTCCTTTGATTGCATCCCAAGCTCCTCGAATAAGGCCCCAAAGTTTCTTCCTCAAACAACATTTCTGACTTAGCCAAAAACAGGCAGTTTTCAAGTATCAGGAGCGGTTTTTGAATGGCTTGAAAAACAACCTTCATGGCTTCTTCTCGAGGATCCAAGTAATCCACCTTGTAGAGGACCACGCCAGCTTCAAAACAAGTTCTAAATCTTGAATTTTCACTGAACCATTTGTGAGAACCAACCCTCCAAAGTAGAACTCTCAAAACTGCTCCAATACTTAACTAACTTCTTCCTTTGAACTTGTCAACTTGGTTTGATTCTTGAGCGATCAATTAGAACTTATGGAATGGCCGAATTGTGATAATATCATACCCTCATTCTTTAAAAAGCTTTGCCCTCAAAGCTTGAAACACTCTGCACTCAAAAGAATAAACAAAATCGTCCCAAACAGGATCACGAAAAGGTCAGGTCAAAAATATTCCCGTTTCCAGCGAGAACCGATTCTCCGGCGAGCTAAAAAAATTTGGGCCTTTCTGTTCCACGTCTCTTCCTCCAAATTCAATGTATCCATCAGGTTTTCCTTACTCCCATCGGCGAATTCCAAATTCCCGAATTCAGACGACGAATTTCCAGAATCCGGCGAGCCAATTTGAAAATTGGGTGTTTCTTTTGCAGGAATTGCCGATCCGATTTCTCGCTTCCCACACCTTCCCTGAGACTCCAGAAGTGGATTCCAAGCGTTGGATTGGTTCGAATATTGCCTGAACTCCACAACCGATTCATTCGTTTTCTGCTCGTTGAACGTTATGTTTGGAGGCAAAAATTCGATTCTAGGATTCCTCGATCGGGCTTGCTCCAGCGGGTCTCATTGATTTTACACGTTACTGGGTGATTTGTGAACGTGCTAGCGTTGGTCGTTTGTTCTGCCGCGACTCCAGTTGCTCCACCCAATTCGGTGCACTTCAGGGCAACTGGGAAATAGGGTCGCCGTACTCTGCTTCGATGGGGAACTGTCTTACCGGAGATAATAGTCAGTAGGTAACGACGAGCCACCAAATTTGATTCCTTCATTACCTGGGGGAAGTACTGGAATTGCCCTTCCCTGGTACCCTACTTCGCACCATGTGCTGTTGATCAGATTGAACTTCCTCCGGCGACAATGGTTTGAGCACCATCTTCTGACCTTGATGCTTGAATGGGTATCGGTTGTTCCGGCTGACATGGGAACCTTGGCGATCGAACTTCCAGGGCCTTCCTAGCACCAAATGTGATGCCTACATCAGAATTACATTGAACAGTAGCTCGTCGTGGTATTTTCTGATCAAGAAAGGCAACCAGACTTGCTTATTGACCTTGATCACAACGTGATCACTAAGCAGTGAAAAGAATATGGCTCGGGGACGGGAATCATGTCCAGCCCGAGCTTCTAGACGGTGTCAAGACTTACCACGTTTGCACAGCTTCCTCCATCCACAATGAAGGTAAGAATCTAACCCTGCACTTGAAACCTTGTGTGAAATAGGTTGCTCCTCTAGTCCACAATGGGTAAGTCCTCTTCTTTGTTTGTCAAAGCCCTACGAATTACTAGCAATGGTCCATCAACGACTTCCATCTCCTCTTCGGCCTCCGCGTCTCCTGCAAGCTTCTTCTCTTCTTTTTCTTCATCCTCATAGTAGTAATTTTCATCTCGGAGTACCAACACCTTCTGATTGGTACATTGGTGAGCCTTGTGCCCATAACCATGGCACTTAAAATAATGAATGTTGCCACGAAAAGCTCTTGCCTTTCTTGAGCAGCTGGTGTGACATTCCTGGTCATGGTCCTAGGCAGTTTAGGCTTCAGTTCGGGCTCTGAAACTGGCTTAGGGGAACTGTTAGCTGGAGGAAACCTCCTGCCAAAGCTCTACTGCTTCATTTGCTTCTCTACTTTCACGGCGAGCTGGACAACTTCTTCAATTTCCATGAATGGGAAGAGCTCCACTTGATTTTTAATGTCTCTATTGAGACCATGTAAAAATCGGCTGATGGTGGCTTCCTTATCCTCTCGAATATCAACTCTGATCATGAGAAAAGCCAATCCTCCTTCGTTTTATGCGCACCTGCTCCCACCGAGCGGCGACGTAGCCTCCAAATTCGTAAGCAGCAAGCGTAACCTTCTGCTCGTCAGTGTAGTTTTCTTTTCCAATCCAAGTAGTCTGTTGGATTGAGGCCTCCTTGAAACGAGGGAATGTTAAGTTTGAACCCTCGGAGCCCGTCGATGCCCCCTATTTCTGGTGGTCGGTGATCATAATCACGGAATTCGTGATTTTGATCACGATGATGGTTCCTGGGAAAGAACAGTTGGTGCTCCAGGTTCCGGATTATCTCGTCAAGAGCCCGAGGACTGCATTCACAATATCCTTCAGGAATCGCCTCGTGCCTCGTCGCCATTCTCGTGGACTTTGGCTCTATTGTCGTCGGCGCTTTTAGTTCCTCCCATTTGATGTTGAATGTTATCAAACTGAGCCTGGAAAGTGACATTCAATTGGGCTATGATCGTTTGTAACAGCTCTGCGGTGTGAATCTATTGTCCTACCATCGTAGAATCCTCAAACCGAATTTCCTCCTCAGACTCGGAATCCGCAGTGCGATTGGGTCCTTCTTTCCCGTTCTTGCTGCAACAGGTCAAATTTCTTGTTTCTTCGTTGTTGCCGCTGAGTTTGAACCAGGCGATGATGCCACTTGATGAGCCCAATGTTAGGACTCGAATAAGAATCACGCAGCTTAGGGAGAGGTTCTGGTGTTTGTGGTGGTTTCATAGTATGAACAGGGGATGATGGATCGATGAAGGAAAGAAACCCAAACAAGCAACTTCAACACAAGAGGGAAGAGGCTAGATTGGGTAGAGATTTACCACGAGATCAATGGTGATGAAATTGATCTCTAGGTCTGCAAGTATAAGACGAAATCCAAGACCAAAACTCAGGCTCTCAAGCTCAAGAACACTCCTCGGAGTAGGGTTTATTTCAATCAATCATAACGTGCTTTTCAACTGCAAAAGAAGGCTATTTATAAACAAAATAAACCTAACACAATCCTAATTGAACAACAAAATGAATTGAAACTAAACAAGGTGAGAAATACATGTAAAACAAGGAAACTTGCAAACCAAGCAACAATCTTCTCTTCTAAGTAAACTGCCTAGGAAACAGTTCATCGGAGCAACTTCAAGCTCCTGGAAAATGGGCTTCTAGATCGATTCGATCTCAGCCAATGCCTTCACGAGATTTAGTAAGCTGCACATGAACATCTCTGATTCGGGCCCAATTGTACACTTTCTATCCCTGTTTATCTTTGGCGTTTGTGGCATTTGAGCTTCATAAAGGGTGGTTTTACGCTAGGTTTTTGTGTTTCAATTTTTTTCAGAGTCTAACAGTTGAAACCAACCCCGGAGTTGAAAGTTGGAAGAAATGGCACGAGGACCGGGCAAATAAGAGTAAACAGTCATTGTTCACGGTCCAAGCTATGAGTTCACGGTCGCCAGGACCGTGAACTGGAGCCACAAACCGCGAACTGAAGGGTGTCCAGAGAGGTTTCATAATTAATTGATGCCAAGTTAGTACCGTGAACTGAAGCCATGGACCAGGAACTCAACAAATGCAAATGGTGCATTTTGGTTGTGCTCACGGTCTGCGCCAGATGTTGACGGTCTTGAACTGGGACCGTGAACTGGGCGCGATCAGGCTATAAAAGGAGAGCTGAAAGGAAGAAGAAGGGGGAGCCCAAAGTGAGAGAAACCTTCTTCTTCTTGAAACCCTATAGAGAGAAAGCTACGAACCAAGAGGAAGAAGAGGCTAGGGTTTGCTCCAAGTCAAGAATTGGGAAGTTCCTCTTCAAGAGAGGATCTCTACAATCACAAGAAAGGATTGAAGCATCATCCATGATGGTTTTTCCCTTTTTCCTTTGTGTTCTTCCTTCTTCTAGCATGGAGTAGTCCCCTATTTACTTAGGTGTTGTAGAACCCTAACTTCTACCATGTAGTTGATTGTGTGGATTCAATGATTGTGTGTGGGTGATGTTTAATTTATGATTTGAGGTATTGTTCATGGTGATTGTGCATTTTGTGTGCTTGGCAATCTATTGTGCTACTCTAACCTAGCTTAGAGAGAAACCCCCTTATTTTAAGAGGCTCAAATTGAGTTGGGTCTTCTTGGGAATTCCATGCCTCCTAACTAGGTTAAGGTAAGACAAACCTCTAAACTCGAATTAGACACCTAGGTTAATTGTGATTAAGCCATTCCAAACCTCGGTTTGAGGGAGAAGGGTAAGTCAAACCTCTTTTGCTTGGGTCAAGAGGGCTACTTTTGTAGCCTATAATGCATTCCTTGGCCTAGCGATCGAGAGTGTGGTTGCCAACCACTGTTGCTCCTCCTAACGGTTCGCAAATGCTTTGTCGCACACCGATTCATTCGATCCCACGGTTCATGGTAGTTAGTTAGGGGGAAACAACTCCCGAGTGAAGCTTATCACCAAGAGTTTCAATCCTTTTACTTTTCAAGTCTTGCTTTTTTAATCGTAGAATGTAGAGATTCTTACAAACTTCATTCCTCTAGGTAATGTTTCAAACAATCGAAGTAGGGGTACATGGATCGGCCTGGGTTTATATTTAAAGATACTTGCCCTATATTGCACCCATTTAAGGTTTATACTTGGGCCTTAGGTGGGATTTAATTGTGATATTCGGGCGAGTCAAGTTTTTGGCGTCATTGCCAGGGACCTTCGGTCCATTATTTTGAAAAGATTGTTTGGTGTTAATTTGGCTTTTACTTTGAGTTTTGTTTGTGTGAAGTATTGCTTGTGCTAGACGAGTTGTGGTTCTCTTAAGTGTGTGCAGGGAGGTACATGACCCGGAGCAATCCGGTACCTTTAGCGCCACTAGACGAGAATCTCAACCGCACTCTCCGACTCTTGGCTCGTGAGAGAGAGTTAGAGGAAGCAAGAAGGAGAATTGAAGAGAGGGGACATCAAGTTGGTCCTGGAGTTAGAGGAGCTGAAGAAGCAGGTCAAGTTGAGATGGTGGCAAATCAACAATAAGTTGCTAATCCTCCTCTGAATCCAAATGCGGATGCAGGAGCTGAGGAAGAACCAAGGACTATGGGCTATTACATGGCTCCACGGGTGGCAGATATTCAATCTCCCATTTTACATCCACCCATGTCGGCCACCAAATTTGAAATCAAGCCCGCCCTAGTCACGATGATTCAAAACAACGCCTTGTTTCATGGGCTCACAAACGAATAGCCGAGAGAGCATGTTCAGAGGTTTCTTGAGCTTGCGGGAAGTTTGAAGATAAATGGCGTCCCTATGGAGGCATTGTAGTTGAGGCTATTCCCCTACTCTCTTGTGGGGAAAGCGCTTCGATGGCTCAACAACCGACCGACTCTTTCAATTACATCGTGGGATGATTTGCTCAACAAATTCATGACCCGATATTGTCCTCCTTCCAAGACGACTGAGTGGAGGAAGATGATCACTCATTTTGAGCAAGAGGAAGATGAGTAATTGAGGGATGCATGGGAAAGATTCTTGGACTACTTCCTCCAATGCCCTCACCATGGATTCGAGGAGCAATTTCGGATATAGACTTTCTATAGAGGTCTCATTCAAGATGACAAGATTCTCATTGATTCTCTTTGCCAAGGGAGATTGATGAACATGACTCCCCTCAGGTGACCGAGTTGCTCGAAGACATGGCTATCAAGGGATACGATTGGGGCTTGATGAGAAGTGGTAAGGGAAGCACCGAAAGAGGAGTGTGAAGTGTGGGAGTAAGTGCTCCACTTGAAGCTAAGCTTCACAAGCTGATTGAGGTGATCCTTGAGGGCAAGAAGCAAGGGAAGAGAGCAGTGATGTCTTGTGATTAGTGCTCTAGCACTAGTCATGAGATAACGGATTGCCAAGGATGAAGGAAACAAGTACCCCCGAGGAGCAAGTGATTTTCATTGTCAATGCTAGAGGGAACAAACCTTATAGCAACACCTACAACCGGGGGTGCCTCAATCATACAAACTTTGCTTGGTCTTCCCCTACCAATCCAAGACCTCTGGTTTCCAAGGTCAGACAGGAAACTATCAACCTTATCCGACTTCATCCAACAAAAGCCTCAGTTCCAAAACTCGAACTTCCAACAACCATACCAAGCACAAGGCGGTCAAGGGTTCCAACAACAACAACGACAACCGACAAGTTTGCTAAACTTGAAGATCTATTGACCATCTTTATGAGCACAAGCTCTCAGAAGTTTGAGAAGATTGAGCAATTCATGGATGTGACAACGTTGAAGTTTACCTCGGTTGAGGCGGGACTCCGAAGTCATCAAGCAAGTCTTTGGAACTTGGAGGTGCAAATTGACAATCTTGTTAGGATCCTCACCGAGAGACCAAGGGGAGCTCTACCTTCCCAAACAGTTGCAAACACCAAAGACCAAAATGTCGGGTTGAATGCGATACAGTTGAGAAGTGGGAAGGTGACTCCGGAGGCAATGAGAAGGAAGACCCTCCACCCGAGGGTGGAGAAGGAGAAACCTCAGGAGAAAAGAGAGGAGTGGAGAGGAAGGCATCGCCAACGCGACCTCCAGTGGCTAAGTACACGCCACCCCTACCTTTTCCCACGAGGGTGCACAACGAAAAATTAGAAGCAGAATGTGGAAGCTTCATGGAGATGCTCAGAAAACTCCACCTCCACATTCCCTTCCTTGAAGCAATGGCCCACATGCCACGATATTCAATATACCTCAATGGGCTTCTCTCCAAGAAGCCAAAATTCCAAGACCTCGCCAATGTCACCCTAGAATGCTCCGCCTTCATCCTCAACAGGTTGCCCGAAAAGCAACTCAATCCAGGTAGTTTCACCATACCTCTTTGCATTGGTACTCATCACATAGAGAATTCCTTGGTGGACTTAGGAGCAAGCATCAATGTGATGCCCTTTAAGCTTTTTAAGAGGCTAGACTTGGGTGAACTAAAGACTACTAAGCTTAGTGTCACATTGGCCGATCGCTCTGTCATTAGTCCTAGGCAATGTAGTCAAAAGCGAGTTTCTACGTAGAAACGTTTTGGTGATCTAGAAACATAAAATCGTAAGTTTTTAAGTTTTAATGCAGAGTTTTTAACTACATAAGCTATAAAAACTAAGATTTTCTGTAGAAACGTTTTAGTGACCTAGAAACGTAAAATTGTAAATTTTTAAGTTTTAAAGCGTGATTTTGACTACATTGGTCCTAGGGGCATTATGGAGGACGTGCTAGTACGACTGGGGAAATTCTATTATCCGACGGATTTTGTGATCCTTGATATAAGTGAAGATTTGAAGATGCCACTCATACTAGGACGCCCCTTCCTTGCCACTGTCAAGGCTTTAATCGATGTTAATGAGGGGAATTTGATTATGAGAGGAGGTGAGGATAAAATAACTCTTGGAATTGAAGGAAGTGGAATCAAATGATATGAATGCAAGTGGAGGAGAGCCTTTCAAGGTGAACCCCACTATTACTGTTATTCCTTATGGTGATGTGAAGCAGGAAACCAAGGAGGGTATCACGCATAAAGAAAGAAGGAAGAGAGCTTGGAGTGAAAGGATGAATCACGTTATTGCCCATAGAAAGGACAAGGGCAAAGAAAAAGTCATCGGCCAAGAAGGCCACCCCCATGGAGTTTAAGTTGGGAGACAACAAGCCTCGCCCGGAGATCGTGGCGGATCCACTCTCGGTGGCTTCATTTTCTTAAGCATGATATATCTGCAACGTCAAACTAGTGAAGTTAACTTAACGCTAGTTGGGAGGAAACCTAATGTAGGTTTGTTTTCTTTTCCTTATTTTCCTTTTTTGTGGTTTAGAGAAGAGTTTAAGTGGTCAAAGTGGTATCCCTGTTCCAGGTCTTTGTGATTGTGTGTTTTGGGATGTGTTGTGATTGATAGAAGGCACGATGGAGTAGGTCGAGTAAAAAAATTTTCGGACCCTGTTTTCACTTCAGTTCACGGTCTGCACTTGCAGTTCGCGATCTTAATCGACCGTGAACCGCTGAACGCGTCCGTGAAACAGGGTGCTTCCACATGTTTTGAACCGTTTCACCCCAGTTCGCGGTCCGCAAGGTTCACGGTCTTAGCGACCGTGAACAGGACCACGCGTCTGTGAACTTGGGGGTCTGCCTTTAAAAGGGTCGTGAACGTCTTATCTGCACTCCACGACCCAAAACGTGCTGGAAAACTTTCAAGTTCACCGGAAAACCACGATTTTCCTACGAATTTGACCATTTTCGTCAACTTCCGGCGATCCAAATAAAAACCAATCACAAACCCGATCTTCCCTCGTCAAGGGCGGCCTTCGATGTGATTCTGGGGAGATTTGGCACTAATTTTTCCTGTCCGGCGATATCCGACGAAGCTCCAGTGACCCCTCTCCGGCATGTTTTCGTGCATTTTTTTTCGGCTCCCTCGCCCTATCCTCACTTTCCCTTCGATCCTACTTGAGTCTCCAGGTTTGTTTCCAGCCTTACCTTTGTTAATTGTGGAGAATCGGATTAGGGAGTGAAGTGAGGTGAATTTAGTGAATTGATTGTTGAACATAGAAATAGGGAGAGAGATTAATTGATTAGCGGTGCATGAATGTTGATTGTGATTTGTATGAGCTTAATTGAGCCTTGGTGGGCATAATGTAGGACAAACAAATTGCTTTCAAATGTGAAATTTTCCCACCAAGTGTAAAAATTATGAATGATCATGCATTTTTATGTACCAGTGGTGGATGGTAGCCACCGTGGCATGGGTTAGGTTAGATTCTTATGTGGATAAACCGTTAAACACCTAGAACCATGCCCCGTTGTGCTTGAGCTTAATTATTTCAAATGACATGGAACCGTAGTGGGAACAGAAGTGTGGGGGAAATTCTTTTTCCTCCCAATGAGTTGAGATTGACAAATGTTTCCACATATATTGTATGTTTGACTATTTTGCAGAATGGTCAATATGAACCACCTGTACCTTTCGGTTCTTAGAGGGAAACCCGCAATGGAAGAAGAGCTGAGATTTTGGGCAAGCGCTCACTTCGGTGACCACTAAAACTCGACTTCACTCAGTTCGATGGTCTCCATTATGGAGATAACATGAGGGAGGTTGTGGCGCACCCACAATGGCGTCGGCTCCTTGAAATGTAAGATTAAATTTTATAGAGAGCTGTGTGTCGAGTTTTTCAGTACCTTCACCATCTCTAAGAACATGAGTCCGTTCGGAAACCAGAGGTGCACGATGAAATTTCACTTGGGCGGAGAATGTCGCACCTTGACTTTTGACGGGTTAGCCCGAGCCATGGGATTTGAAGCCACATCTAGAGCTGAGTGGGAAGAGGACGCCACAAGAGGGCGCGACATAAATGAAGCATTTCGAAGGTTTTGTCTTTCGGAGCACCGGCAAGCGCCATTTTGATCAGCACTCACGTTGGCATCCACACTCAAGCCGCAATGGCACATCATCAATGCCCTCCATGCCCGTTCCCTCTACCCTAGCTATTACAATCCAAACAAGATAACCGAAAGGATCTTGCTGCCATTCGCTTGCATGGTGGACCTGTCAAGCAATATTAATCTTGGTTCGGTCTTGGCCACCACTTTCGGCAAGGCCATTGGGGGGGGGGGGGGGGGGGGGGGGACGACGATATGTTACATCATTGGGGCCCTGCATCACCCACCTTGCTCGTCACTACAATGTCAATCTGGCAGGCTGCACAAAGGAGGGGCACTCCTCAGGGTTTGAAGAGGGCACCCTGAGTTCCATGCGTTTGTTTTGAGCATTTAGACCATTTCGGTTCATCGGACTGAATCTACCACCGAGGTTCCTCCTCTAGAGCAGCAACCTGCTCGAGCTCTTGGCTGCCGCCGGCGTCTTGCACTCCAGCATCCTGCCCCCCCCCCCCCCCCACCACCACCAGCAACATCATCATCAGGAGTCGGTCCTTCCACCTCCGGGGTGCACCTCGTGGAGAGGATGGATTGCCTTGAGACCCACCTAGTGGGATCACTTCCCGACTCGACCGACTCACCGACCTGCTGGAGCGGATAGCTCGCCGCTAGGGCCTCATTCTAGATGATGAGCCGGGACCTTCGACACGTGATGAGGTAGCCGACGAGTGAGACATGTGGCAGAGCTGATTTATAGGTGTTTAAGCAGAACCGGACCCGACTAACCTGACCCGCTACCAGAGTTGACTAAAATTCAACAACCCGTAACCCGCCCGACCCGCAACCTGATTAACCCGAACCCGATTGGCCTATAACCCGATTAAACCCACAATCCGATCAACCCAAACCCAATTGACCCGAACCCGACTAACCCGTAACCCGACCGACTCAACTCGAACTTCACCTAATCCACTTGAATAATTATTATATTATACAATACATAGTTTTTCAAATAAAGTTTTCATCCTATACTTATGTAAAATTATTTTTCATTTTATAGGAAATTTAAAAAATATGAAACTCATTTGATATTGTATCTTTTAAGAAAAATACAAAAATTCGAACATGAAAGTCACTTGAACAATAAGTTCTTTAAAAAATAAAAAAAATAAATGTAAAATATAAAATCAACACAATGTCAATATTAATTTAATATATAAATTAAAATTTTGATTAATTTAACTATTCAATAAAGTTATCAATTAAATATAAATAAAGTAAAGTAATGTATCTAAATATAAATAAATTAAAGTATTTGATAATTTGATGCTTTTAAAATAAGAGCGAAATTTTGGTGCATTCAACTTATTGGGAAGAGAAAGAAGAGTGAAATTTGGTTATTTGAATTTTTTAGAAATAAACAAGAGGGAATTTTGGTGATTTTTATTTGTGTGAAGAGAAAGAAGTGGAAAAGTTTGTTCTTTTGATTATGAAATAGAAATGAGGAGGGAAACTTTGGGAAAAATCCAAAAGTACCATTGTTTAAAAAAAAAATTCCAAAAATACCACCCAACCCCAACAAATTCCAAAAATACCACCCTTTTTCAAAACCGCCACCCCACCCTGCGGTTTACACAAAAACCGTTTGTCCGGGGCGCGGTTTTCTATGCAAACCGCGGGCCTAGGGGGCGGTTATAAAAAAAAAATTGGACCAAACCGCTGGGTGGGGTGGCGGTTTGACCCTAAACCGTCAAACCGCCACCCCACCCCGCGGTTTGGTCCAAAATATATTTTTTTTTCGATCAACTCCTAACTTCGGCCGAAACTTCAAACGAACGTAACTTTGCACTCGGGTACCCGATCGTAGCGATTTTTTTTTTCATTTCACATAACTTTTCAAGATCTAAACTTTTACAAGGATGAAATTTTCAAAACAGGAACTATTTGTGGATATACGGGACCTTGGGAATAACTATACCTTTACTTTTCACAAATCCATGTACATTTTGAAATTATGATTATATTAAAAGTTGTAGATCTTGAAAAGTTATGTGGAATAAAAAAAAATTCATGACATTCGGATTTTGGAGCACAAAGTTATGGCCGCCCAAAGTTTGACGAAATAAAAAAAAGGCTCGTTCGGGGTGGCAAATGACGTTTTTTCGAGACGAAGGCGGGACCCGGCGGTTTGCGGCTTGCAAGATCTCAAAAAGTTATTCGGATTCAAAAAATGGAGGCTGCAAACTTTTTGAGATCTTTCATAGTTACGTTTGTTTGAAGTTTCGGTCGAAGTTAGGAGTTGATCGAAAAAAAAAAATTGGACCAAACCGCTGGGTGGGGTGGCGGTTTTGGGCCAAACCGCCACCCCACCCAGCGGTTTGGTCCAATTTTTTTTTTTATAACCGTCCCCTAGGCCCGCGGTTTGCATAGAAAACTGCGCCCCGTCGTGTAAACCGCAGGGTAGGGTGGCGGTTTTTGAAAAAGGTGGTATTTTTGGAATTTTTTTGGGGTTGGGTGGTATTTTTGGAATTTTTTTTTAAACAGTGGTATTTCTGGAAAAAGTACGAAACTTTGAGTTTTCAACTTTTTTTGGAAGGAAGGAAGAAGAAAATTTGGCTCTTCAATTTTATAGAAGAGAAAGAGGTGGAAAAATTAAGTGTTTCTAATTTATGGAAGGAGAAAGAAGGAGGGGAATTCTAG